ACTATAATGGGTTATATAGAGATTGTAGGGTATATATTGGGGTTATGTAGGGAAAATGGAAAATAAATGGAAACTACTAGTTAGGGTTTAGGGTTAATGTTTAGGGGTTGGATGGTCAGGGCGACTTAGTAAGTAGGTTACTGAGGGGGATAACTGGGGTTATTATTTGGGTTATAGGGGTTACTAACCCACTTACTAAGTTGCCCTGACCCTCCAAGTAGGCTCGCGTACCCACATGGGTGCGTACTTGCCTGTGCATGACACCTTTCCTTGGCATGCGCGTTGGCTTACGGAAGCACATGAACACTTGAACAACCGCATGCTATTTCACATATGTGGACGCCAAGCGCCCGTCCTGTGATTTAGTGCCTACTTTCAAGTTCCATCAGTGTGTGCTTGTTGACCTTAAGATGCGCTCGCTTGTCGATTCCGCTCCTTCTGATTGCGGGTGGCCACAAGATGTGATTCCAAAACGTGTTGAACTTCTTTTCTGCTACTTTATTTTCCCGCTCAGGCAAGGATGATGTAGCAGACAACAACATAAGCACAACTGCCATGCTAAGGCAACGAACTTGTCCCAATCAAATCCTCAAATGGGCATCTCTAAAATACCTCTGTAATCCGTACGTTTTACTAGGGTCTCTATGATTCTTGGGAAACTCCCAACTCATCTTATTTGAAGCCACCCCTTGCGTCATCTTACTGCTGGCTAGCAGGGCATGAGGGATTATGATCCCTATATCGTCAATGGATAATATCTTCCCTTATTCCTACTAACCGTGAACCCTAGACCCTGAAATATATTCCCTTATCTCCTACTAACACCCAGTAATGTCACGTAAGAAACTTCAAATCTGGCTTGGCAAGCAGGCAAGAGCAGCATGAAAGCAGCAGAACAACGAGAATGAGCCTCCCGCAAACCATTACTTACTGGGGTTCAGTAGGGAAGGGATCACATTATATAGGGATTATATTCAGAGATTCCCGACTAAGGCCCATACTAACTACCAGTAACATGAGCACAGCCGAATTTCATAGGGTTTTGCAAGGGGCCACGCACCCAGCTTTCCAGCAACGACACCTTTGGCTCTCTAAACCCTTGCCTTGCCAGAAATGACGGCTTCTGGATCAAACAATGGCTGAAAAATGTAGACCCACGATTGGTAAACCCCCTCCTTTTAAGGGCCTTAATATTCGGATCCCTATTAACATCCCTATTAAGGGGAGGGGGTGTATTAATCATGAACGCGAGCAGCAACACGGCAATCTCATGTGTCTCATGTCCAGCTCCGCTTCTCTCATTCAAAAACAACCGAACAGGACACCATTTTTAAGATGCACATGGTTATGGGTCCCTGTTACACAGGTCACTATGTTTTTGGGCAGCCCTTGCTGCTTCAAATTGTCAAACGCATTGTCCGGAAAAGGACTTGCAATAGCAGTTGCTCTAAGATACTAGGAATAGCAGCCGCGGCAGCAGCGGCAGCAGCAGCAGCAGCAGCACCACCACTCACAACAACCACGATGACGACCACAATAACAACATCAACACCAAACAGCACCATCACCATGCCTAAGCGGAGGAGAAAACATAACGATGAGAAAAACATCTTAATCTATAGGATCCTAAAGGGGGGTATAATGGGGATTACTAGGTTACCTACCCGCTTTGGACCACCCCCCCTTAAGGACATCCTAATTAATGGTGAAGCAGTCTTTGTCCTTCGAGCTCCGCAGCTCCGGCACTAAGAAACCAATCGAGTAAACCAGGAGGAAGGAGGCAAGCTGCCAGGTGCTGCAAAGCTACCTGGCGATTTGTCAAAACAGTGGCAATCCCTTCAGTTTTTGTTGAAGGGGAGGTGGGGTAGGATCTGCTGACTGTTTCTGAGTTCAAGCCCCTCCTAAGGAGTTTAGCCCCAAACCCTAAACCCCAAAACCTGAACCCATTCTTCACAAATCCCACCTAAAGGCCGACGAGGTATCTTGTTCCTCAGGTGCGTGCCACAGCGATGCTTTCACGAAGTTGTTGTTCATGTTCCCAGATACTATCCCATTAGTGAAGAATCTCATGGAAAAAAGAAAACGGAACATGAAATGAACACCTAAGACTTCACTGTATAGCTGGCCAACTACCGTCTGTAGCAGGGAAGATCCTGACATGACTTGGTACGCCCAGGGCAGGGGAATCAGTTACGACCAGGCAGACATGCGCTGATGCTGCCAAGGTGCACCGACTTGTTGGTGCTAAGCGCGCCTGGCATGCCCTGCCCAAATGAGTGAGAGTATAGTCCGTAGGATGCGCCCTTGTCGAAGGAATTCACTGAGAGGCTGCTTTGGCCACTTGGCGCTTCCTTTCCAGGACCAACGTGTCCAGGACCCACGGGTCCAGGACCCGTAGCGCCACGACGCTCGCGCAGGCTTGATCTCAGGGTGCGGTGCTGCTTTCGAGGTTGTATGGTCGGCTGGCGTACACGCTCTTGCAAGGCAGTCTCAACTAGCACCATGCACTTTCGAAGTGCTGCCTCGGTTGTAGCCATGACAAAGTCATCGAGCTTGTCCAAAGAAACACTTGGCATTTCGAAAGGTGCCGACCGCTGGGCGGGTGCCTGCGCATACTCACCAGGGCAACTGGACAGCACTCGCTTGATGGCAAACTTTTACGTAGCTAACCCTTGTCACTTGCTTCTTACCTTTGTCTCTAGTCATCGCTGTGTCAGTTCTCAAATATGATGCTATGCTCAAGAACCCCAGAAGCTGCCTCAAGAATCAGGGCTGCAGGCGTCTGGGACACTGGTGGTTGCACTACGGGCTCGTCATCAGAGTCGCTCAGCTTCGGAACGACTGGCAATTGCCGAGGCAGGACCTGATCCAGGGTGTCGTCTTGAGGCTCCTCTGACGTCGAAGCATTCGTGAAACTTGAAGTGCTTGATTCTCTTGAGTGTCCTCTTGATTGTCGTTTTGGAGAGGTCTGGATGGTAAACAAGGTGCTCATCATGCTCTGCATTTCAGCCATACGCTCTGTGAACACGTCTTGGTGCTCGAGCATTTGCGCGTATATCTCCTCTTGCTGGTGCAAGGCTCTGAGCACATTGTACTTGATGAAGCGCGTGGCTGTTTTGGAGTCATGCACCCATCGACTGAGCGGGGCAACGAACTCTGACAATCGAATCTGACCCTCGCCAGTCGTGTCAATCATCTCGAACAACTGTTGCAAGTCTGCTTCGTCGATGTCCATCACTCGAAGCCTGTTTTGGAAGCTCTGACCCTAAAACCTCAAACCGCAAGCCCTGATTGAATCCTTTTCAGAGCCAACGTAATCTTGCTCCACCTGAGCCATATTAGTCTCAACTCCTAGTATCCCCCATAATAGGCCCTTTAATAATCCACTATATAATCCCCCATACAACCCCCCTTCAGGAGTTTACACTATGGCTCACCTGCACTGCACTTACAGCGCAATGCTAAAACGTTGTTCCAGGCCTGCTTTGGAATTGAGGATCTCGACGGGCTCCCTCTAGTAGCTCCTCTTACTGGTTCTTAGTAGGGTAGGGTTTAAGGCTTAAGGCTTAAGGTAGGGCATAAGGCAATATGTCATACAGGGATTATATAGGGATTCTATTCCCATATTCCCTACCAAGAACCAGTAGCTCCTCAAAAGTTACCTCTCCGCTTCCATCAGTATCGATTCTTTGGAAGATTGCCTCCAAGCTCTTCCTTGCTGGGGTTGTCACTGAGAAATGGTAATTTCCCAAAATAGGGGGACCCCAATATAGACCCCAAAATACTACAATCCTTATTATTGGGACCCCCAAAATGGTACCCCTAATTTTGGGAAACCCCCAAATGAAGGAATGTAAATGAACATGGAAACTACTTGACTGTTGGGGATAAAAAAGAGACTACTGTAAGGATCCATTTCCTTTAGTCCTTGCCAACCAGAGGTAAGTTTCACATCATTTGCAAGGTTGTACTCCAGCTCTTCTGCCAGGTTGAGCACGTCCCGTTGGCGAGCTTCTGCAAATGTGTCCACAACCACAGCCACCTGGGCGTCTGAGGCCAGAGCTTCAAAAAGTGAAAGCCAACAATGGCTAGGTGCAAGAATTCAATGGTGCCAGTCTTGCTCCCCCCTAGAACGAATAGTCTAAAGAAGGAGCTCAGCCCCCGCTCAGATAATGAAAAAACATGGAAAACACACCTGGCGCTTTGCCGTACACTTGCTTAATCCGCAAGCCCATCTAGCAAATCTGGATAGCATAACCTTTTTGCCCGGGAACTGCTGCCCAATGACTGAAACGTGTCCTACCGCTCACAGTTCTAAGTCTCACGCTTCCTGTAGGGTTTAGGGTTTAAGCCGCTTAGGGCTTAGGGAGCAGGTCAGCAGTTGTTACTTGATGGTTGTTTCAACAATTTTGAACCTAGCCCCCAAAGCCCTGTTGGACATTCCTACTTGCCCATTGTCGAGTCTGCCTGCCCACTGGGATGAAGCGAAGCCCTCACCCCAAACCCTTGCATGCCACTGCGCGGACAAGTGGGGCTGTGAATCCTAAATGGTAGTGTGCCAAAGTCCCAAAGTAGGGGAACCCCAATTCAGACCCAGTATACTTATAATTGTATATAATCGCATTATACGTAGGTACCCCTATCTTGGGGGGAAGCCCCAATTGACTTTAAGGCACCACGTATACGCACCTGGGGATGTGTAGAAACAAGCAGTCTCCAAGTTACTCCCCCACCCCCCAGAAGGTAAACTTTAGGGTTTAGGGCACTTAGGGAGCCCATCTTTGAATCATTACCATTATTTGTTCATACTCGTTTTACTATGTTTGTACTATCAAAATTACTATTTTTATTGCATGATTCTGGCACATGCAGTAACTCCATGTTAAAAAAATCGTCAAGAGTCAATCAGGTTCAGCACACCAAACACTAGCGTGAGCAGGGAGCCGCAGAAAATTATGGCAGTGGCCGGGTACTCCTGAACCAGATTTGGAAACGCTTGGACAAACTAGCTGGCACTAATTAAACCCGAATGAATTCAGTATTCCAAGGCAAAACCTTGTTTTGAACTCTAACTCAGGCTCCCGTATGACCGGTACGGCAATTTCGCCCCAACTGTCGCCAGCAATGACCGTTTTGAAGAGCAACAAGTTGGCTTCCATCACCCCGGAGGTGGCGGTAGAACATGCTGGCCAGTTCTGGCAGATTTGCTCAGAAGCGAGACTGTCCATGTGGGTCATGATCGGGTGAACGAACTCTACGATTAACATGGCCCATACTGTCATTATCATGAAGCAGAAAACGAAAGACCAAAACAGTGCCCGAAGGCATGTAGCCATCATGCGCACCAACTTTTGCAGCTCTCGAAAAGCTCGAAGTCGCTTCAAAAGCCTTGCAAGACGAAGCACTCGAACCATTCGAAGAATGGGCACAAAACCCAGATTGATCATGATGTCTGAGGCCAAGCTATCAAGAGCAAGCTCGGTGAAGCCAGCCATGATGATGACTATGTCAAGGCGCATCGTCCAGTGTCTGAAGGCCTTCCTGCCCCGCAAGATCCACATTGTGAGCACTTCTGCTGTGTACAAGCCCAGGCAAATGTTCGAGATAGTGGGGTAAACTGCAGGAGTTTTCTGGCCGATGGCCCTGTAGTCAATATCAGCAATGGTACACACCGCATCAACAAGGATCACCAAGGTCATCAGGTTGGAGACGTAGCTGCTGTTCATGCATCTATTGGCCTGCTTCTTCTTCATTGACCAAGTGGTTGTTTGATCATGATGTACTTCCTCCTCTTCCTCCTCAGTCTTTCCCTTGATGAAATTGCTGGCTATAGTGACATTTCTCTTACCTTCGACGCGCTCCCCGAGAGTTGGACTGAGGTTCCCTCGCAACTCGGGTGAACTGAGGTTCCCTCGCAACTCGCCTGGGGCTGGACCAAATCAGTCAAGTACCATGTCTGGAGGACAATAGTCCCCCTTAAGTAGATAGAATGTGCCCCTATGAATCATAAGCCCTAAGCCCTAAGCCCTATAGTCCCCCTTAAGTAGATAGAATATGGGGTGTATGGAGATCTTATTGTCATATACCCAAAGCCATATTCTATCCAGTGAAGGGGGACTACAAACCCAAAGCCCTAAACTCCGACCTGATGAACAACCATAGGATCGGGGGCTGGCTGAGCCTGTAGCCATGGCAGAGTCCGGCACGGGACTGCCGATTTCCGACCTCCAGGGTTTAGGTTTTAGGTTGGGTACTGCCCCCACCCAATAACAAGGTTTAGGGTCTAAGCCCTAAACCGTACAAGTTTGGGACACTTAGGGTTCAGGAGCTTGCCATAAAAAGGGGAACCCCAATCTATTATCCTCATGACTAAGACCCTCAAAGAAACCCCCTAATGTTTGGAAACCCCCATTCTGGTAAAAGGAGGAGACTCCATGGTTGCCACTCAAGCATGATGTATTGGGTACTGCCCCCACTCATCAACAGTTGGATAATATTTGCTGTCAAATAAAGCCCTTAATATGACCCCTATTATAGACTGTTACTGGGTGGGGCGGTACCCAACCTAAACCCTAAACCCTTTATAGTAGCTTCCATGGTCTTTTCCATTATCCCGATATAACCCCGATATACATATTCACCCAAATTACGTACCAGAATTTTGGCAGCTCCTGCCTCACTTCGGAGTGTCAACGGCAGCAGGCTGGAGCAGCATGGCTACAGCACAACGCATGGTTACTGTGGTGAAGTACGTACAGCTGGGCTCCAGTCCCTCAAATCATCCGTGCGAAAAGGAAACTTTTACTAGACCTAAAAGGGCTCACAGCTGTCTTTTTCAACCAGAAGACCAGGAGCAGTATATCTATGTTGGAATTTCTCAAAATGATGGGACCCCTTTTTATATCCCATCGTGGGGATGATGTGGTTAATTAGAAATGCTTCCTACTCAGGGCACCAATATCATCCATCATAGGGGTTCCCAAAACAGGACCCTGGTTTTTGGAAACCCCCATGTCACCATTCTGCCTTTTTGACAGCGAGCCGCCGGTTCAGTCCTAAAGCCTAAATCCTAAACCTTAAGCCCGCAAACCCAAAACCCTAAACCTGAAATCGTAAACCCTAAACCTTAAATCCTCAGCTCTTAACCTTAAACCCTAAACCTTAAATCCTAAGCCCCAAACCTTAAACCCTAACCCGTATGGGCTCAGCTGGTCGGATCTCCAAGCTCAACCGCGGGCTGACACGTCCTGGGAGGATCTCCCAACCAACTATGAATAAACACCCATTGTGGATTTAGGGTTTAGGGTTTGGGGTTTAGGGTTTAGGTTTAGGGTGTGGGGTCCATCTCTAAATTGAATCTTCACTCAAACGGACCACATGACCCATGGTGACAATGGCCTACCCTCCTTGAAGGTTCATGGGTAGTTAGAAGCAAGGCTGTATGTAGGATAACGAAAAATCTGGTAGTTTCCCCAAATAGGGGGACCCTAATATAGACCCTAAAATACTATAATCCTTAATATGGGGACCCTAAACCCTAAACTCTAAACTCTAAACCCTATGGGCACACATAAGAAGGGAGGAGCCCAAGCCTAGAAGAGCAAAGGGCCGTGGCTCGTTGGGGCCCATGGGGGTGCCCACTGGAAGGGTAGTTTACACACAGACACAAAGGTGATTGCCGGACCCGCTTTTTTGGGGGGTTTTCTAAAATTAGGGGTACCTTTTTTGGCGCCCCCCATAATAAGGATTATAGTATGTAGTGACTATATTGGGGTTCCCCCCCAATTTTGGGAAACTACAATCTTTTTCTTTTTTGGCCGTGCTTCAGGAAGCAGATTTAGGGGAGGAAGTCAGAGGCAGAGGTCACGGGTAGGCATGTTTGCGTGTATAGAAAGGACGGATACAGCTACAAGTATGTCCCACATGTATTGTATACGTATGTGTATACATATATATATACATATGCTGACCTGTAAAAAACCTGGACAATTTGGCAATCAGTGTGGTGTGCTCCAGGGCCCTATGCTATTTTAGCTGTTCAGGCCTTTGCTATGCATTAAATGCATTTCCCGCTGTGCAGGCTATGAAGCCGTTTGCGAAGTCCTTTGCATTGCGCTGCAGGGCGGGCAGGTGGGTTCGGGTAGGGTTTACGACTTACAGTTTACCTGTAACCCCAATTACCTACAGCTTAATATAAATTACCCCTTAGTCAGTAAGTATAACCCATAAAACTTTAGGTATTGGGGTCACAGGTAGAGTATGAACTCGAGGCTGTCTGTGATTTCGGGATGGCACAGACTCTGGTTACAATTACTGACCCTTGGGGTACATGATGCATAACCTGAGGGTCCAAGGGCCCAACTAATAGGGTTCTAGGGCCCAATTTCTACAATGTTAATGGTATTTGGGCCCTGAGGCCCTATTACTTTGGTCCTTGGACCCTCTGGCATAAGATACTTGAGGGAAGTAACGGGGGTTCGGCCTTCGCAACGGAACGTATGAGGGCCTGGGCCTATGTTGCAACGATATGAACATCCTAGTGGGCCAGCACATACACGTAAACGTGGGAGATCGTGCGCACTCCAAGTTCTACACACATATCCCGACGCTACTGAAGGTACCCCCATTCCAAGAAACCCCTATTGTACTGACTGTGCTAGACCTCCAACAGCTAAAATGTGTAGAAAACCACTGCGTGGTGCCACCACTAAACCCATAAGCAGCCTATTCTGAGGGCCCTACAATTGTGTAAATGGAAAAGAAGGCTTCGATAATCCTTGAAAGGGACCCCCCAACACGGACTCTACAGAATACCTCTGTTTGGGATTCGGGATGGTATTAACTTGGGATGTCAGGATTAGTCTCTACCTCAAAGGGAACTTTAAAAAGGGAGCATGAGGGACTACACTGTAAGGAGGATCATGGAGTATTATTGGTACGTGCTGGCTTACCTTCCCTGTTGAAACACCAAGCCCTGCACTAAGCCCTGAAATCCAAACTCTAAACCAGGAAGCCGAAGCCTAAACCCGTGTTAGATGACCTTCCTGGTGCGAAGCTTTGATTTTTATGGGAGTTTCGCAAAGTGAGCTCTATCGTGGATTTTAACGGGAAGTATTGTCGGGGATGATCAAAGGGGGATACTAGGAGGTTAGACTAGTTCAAATGGGGCTAAGGTGTAGGGTCTCAGGGTTACCTTCCGAGAGCCTCAGGACATAAGATCGTTTCGGCATTGCCTTTCGACAGATGGGTGTTTAAGGGATTTAAAGATATTCTAAGGGCATATCTAGGGTTTAGGACACGGAGCAGGTAGGTGTCCCTTTTTGCGCGGCCTTAAACTAGGTATTACAGGAGTCTGGGTATATGAAAGGGACCTTCGGCTTTCAGGGGACTACCTCTATTTGCACACATTTCTGTTCATACAAGAACGCTGAAATTTGGGTGCGGTTTTGCGGACAATGTTGCCCAAACCGCAACATGTCCCAACGCTCCCCACACCCTCGACCCTACCTGAGATCCAGACTCCGAGGTCAAATCTGAAACCCCGAATCTTGTACCCAACGCCATTCGCCCGAAAAACCACTAATTCTCAAGGTGTAAACACAAAGCCTATGCAAAAAGTTGTTTCTCCATTGATGCCCCTTCTGCAGTTTCTGGAGTGTTTGCTGGACCCTTGAGCTTGAAGCCGATATGTCAGAGGGCTTTGAAGGGTTCCAGGTCAGTGTTATAGGTATAGTCCCCCCTTAAGTAGATAGAATATGGGGTATATGGCGATCTTGTTCAAATATACCCAAAGCTATAGTCTATCTACTCGAGGAGGACTATTCTAAGCCAGTAAGCAGGAGGCTTGAATGGGAAGTTAACTAAAGGGTGCATGTCATCCAGATCCACCAAGTTCCTTAACAAAAAAAATCCTACTGCCAAAGGTCGTGGCAGTAGCAACGCTAAACTAATTACTGGTACTTTATTATTCTTCTTATACTTATTACTATTATTGCCATTATTTCTACTGTTATATTATCCCAGTTCTACCTCCCAAAACCAGTCTGCGAATGCTGCTTGCCAAAGCCACGAACAAGAACAGCACAACCCATCATTTGGGTACTGCCCCCATGTAATCATAAAGATATACATATATGTATATATATATATGTTCATATCGCCCTGAATATGACACCTATTATAGATTGTTAATGGGAAGGGACAGTACCCGAACACTGCCCATAATAGCGCGCCGTAACACAGATGATGGTGGATGCGACATACGTGTGAAGAAGTGTTCGAGCCAAAGCTGGGATAATCGGGTAGAATTTTATTGGGGATACTATGGTACCCAATATAGAGTAAGATTCTATCCTCCTTTTGGGGTATAGTATTTTATATAAGGAATCTAATCTTACTAGGTTCAGCCACCAAAACAACATTACTCAATTAGGGGTTTAGGGTTTAGGGTAATGTGCATCCCTTGCCGGTGCAGGCATCCACAGCAGATGCAGCTGATAAGCCTGGGAGCCTTTGTTGAGCTTGAGGGTCAAGGTTACCCTAAGGGTCCAAGTACCAAATAATCATATACTTACCCAAAACCAATACTACAATTACTATTACCCAAATCCCAAGTACCCCTAGCGATCTAAATAGCCCAATGTAGGTAATATTTATAGACATTGGGGCCCAATGTAGGTATTATTCATAGACATGGAGCCCCAGGGTAATGAGTGTTAAGGACTTGTACGTTGAACCCATATCGACGGTCAGTCTTTCAGGCGTGTCTTGGGGTTCCATGCTCTTGCCGTGCTAAGCGAGAAGAAACACGCTTGATGGTTCTACAGGCAGATGGCTTAAACTAAGGTTTTGCTTCGTGTCTGGGTGGGGGGGGGTTCAGCTTCTTGCTCGGGGCTTTGCATGTTTTATGTTGGCTTGGGCTTTTGATACCTTGCCAGATTTCGGGTTTGATTCTGGCATCTTGTTGGAATTCCACTTGACTGTTTTGTTTGCTTGAAATTGTACCTGTAATCACAATTAAGACAGTTTTATGGGATGTACCTACTAATTAGGGGGACGAACTCTGACCAATCTGTAGATTGGGGCTACAGGTAAACCCTGAACCGTGACAAGGCTCGCCTGAAGACTGAGGAAAGCTCCCAGGCACAGGCCCATTGAAGATATGCTGAACAGTATATGGAGGTTTCCCAAA